GGTCTCCCATGCTCTGAAAATACATGGAATATAAAAGAAGATTAGAAGAAAACACCTGTCTTGTTTTATTTTGAAAAAGATTTGAAATAATGACGAAAAGAACCTTGGAGAATTCAACACCCACAAGACTCCTTGAAAGTAACAGAAGTAGTGGCAAACAGAAATTAATTGAAAATTAAATGGATCGCAGAAAAAATACGACAAAGGAGTAATACAGGAAGGACGTCATGGAGTTTGTCCTGGGTATGACGATAAACAACATTCAGCATCAATGATTCTGGTCGGGAAATTGGAGGTTTTGAACAGCATGGAACCAACTCTTAATTGTTGTTGTCGCCAGGTCCACCTTGATTCGATGATAGCACCTGTTAGAGTCCCAGCTATGGGCAAAAATGATGATATTCAGTCACCCCCCCACTGGTCGGTTATTTAATGTGGGAAATCCGAGCCCGTGGGCTCAGCCCCAAAATATGCCCATTGAACCCGTATAAACGGGCTCAGGGCCAATTTACCTCCCCGAACGAGACTCCGCCCCTCGGAGTAGCCTCGTTCGGGTTCCTCTCCGCAGTCGGTTCAGAAGTGAACAACTGGGCAAAAATGACCACCAAACAAAAATGAACGGTACATTTTTTTATGGAAATTAACAGCAATACATTTTATGATCTACAAGTTATATATTTAAAATAAAATACCTATTAGACTGAAAATATCAATATCTGTGAGGTATTATCATTATTTACATTATTCGAATTGTTATCCTCATCGTCACTGCCATATTCACAACGTTTAAGGAAAATAATTGAGACATCCGAAAGAGACGTGGCACGGGGAACTAGAACAATCTACCCCGGTGGACGAAGTAAAGGGTTCGGTTCCAATCACCTGAATAATACCAGAGCGTACAACGGCGGAAACGTTGTGAATATGGCAATGAAGGTGAGGATAAAAGTCCGAATAATGGAAATAATGAAAGTATCAAATTACTTAAAAATATGTAGATTTAGGTATTAAATTACTTATAGACATTGATATGCCTCTAAAGAAAATCAACCAACCAATAAACATATATGCGTAAAAGCTGAGTATCATCTACCATGTACTCAAATGTGAAAGCATAATTAACATATTCTGCATTAGTTCAAAGCTCCCAAGTAAATTTAATTTCGACATTAAATGACCCATAAGGAGTTGATATTCCGTTAAACAAATTAATCATCGTTATGGAGAGCTATGATTGTACCCGTCCTGAAGAGACATGGTTCCTAGAAATAGACTGATAGTTAAAGAGGTAGGTAGAGATAGCAGTAATTCCTAAAAATATTTTCCAAGTGTTGACCTCTTAGCTGAAGCTACATCAGTACATACAATGAATGCCTAGCTTGATATTACGTTTAGTGCAAATTTTTAATGATTACGAGGGCAAATACTTAGAAAATAGAGAGTTTGGAGAATAGAGAGTAGGTATCTACTGAATATCCATACATGAGCGCGTGTGGGCTGAGATTACGCGCGCAGTGATAAACGATTTCAAGAGAAAACTACAGGCCATCTGAGAAAAGGTAGTAAAAGAAAGCAACAAAAAATAAAGATTAACCATCAACTGCGAGAAGACAACAAATATGGTCATCAGCAAGAGAAAAAAAGCCCTAGTTAGATGCGTGTTAGGAATTGGTGATATAAAAATCAAGCACTAGAGAAGTTCCAGTATCTAAGAAATGTTTTAACAGAGAACGGAAAATGCGACACAGAGATCCCAACAAACATTGGACTAGCGAAAGAGACATTCCAAAACTAAGCATGACGCTGAGAAACAAAACAAATTTACAATATAAGATAGGCATACGGCACTGTGTTGATGGCCGACGCGATAAAGAAACTAAAGAACCTTCTAGAGAGAGGAAGGGAGAAGAAAGCAAGAAAAAAAAGGACTGAAGACGAACTGCAAGAAGGCATAAAGTATGATCATTAGCAGGAGAAAAAAAGGTAAAGATGTGAGTTACGAAATGGAGATATAAACATCAAGCAGGTGCAGAAGTTTAAATAAATGGGAAGCGTTTTTAAAAGATGAAAAATGTGACGCAGAGATCCGAACACGCATTGGAAGCCTTTCAAAAGCTAAGCAAGGTGCTGAGAAATGGAATAATTTGTAAGAAAGAAAAGAGTGTTGGAGTGAAGACGTATCTTGGAAGCGTTTTAACAGACGATGGAAAATGCGACATCGAGAACCGAACTCACATTGCACGAGCAACAGATTTCCAAAAGCTAAGCAATTTGTTGAGAAATGGAAAAAGCCGTTAGAAAAAAAAAAGACGAAAAGCAGCATTGGAATGCTGTGTGAAATCCATCTTCTAATATGTCAATGATGAGGGGAAAAACAACTAGAAGAATCAGAAATGGTGGTTCCACAGAAGGTTACATAGAATTCCATGAATGAAAGGAGTAAGCAGAAGGAAGTCTTAAGAGGAAATGGCAAAAGAAAGTATACTTATATTCAAAATCATTAAAAGACAGTTAAAATTCCTTGGACACTTAATAAGGAAGAAAGGCTTGGAAAACTTAACGCTCACGTGGCGTATTGAAGGGTAGAGTCATAGAAGGCAACTAACCACTTACCTAACGAGCATGTGTGAATGGCTGGAGGAATAATGAGCAGGAGCCTTAGTAAAAGGGGGAAAACTTTTAAGAGCCACACAAGATAGGAAAGTGTGAAGAGCCATGATCAAGTAACACGGGACATAGAAGTAGTGATTAGTGGGTTAAGAGATCGTAGAATACGGTTCTGCTACTCTTTGAGGCCCATAGAAAGTTTGAAAAGAAATCTGAAAAACAAAGAGCAGTGAAGTATTTGGAGAACCAAGCAATTGTTTTTAACGCTTTTGTACTCTAGAAAGTATAAATTTAACAGCTTTATGCACGAAAGCCTTGGTTTATTATATTTTGCACCCCAAAATCAGTGTCAAATATGGGAAAAAATCTTTGTATCGTGGTTTTTCGATTGAATCGTTTTCTGTGGCTTATCAACACTTTTCTATGTTACGTAAAGCCAGAAAATATTTCTAGCTTGTAAGAATTTTGTGACATCCCGCAGCCTTCGCTCGCTCCTCGCTGCTTCGTTCGGGTGTCGCCACTCCAAACGTGACGTCCGCCTGTCTGCGCCAGTCGTGTTGTCCCGTCCTGTGACGACCAACTGACTTGGTATTGGTCGCGGCACCCAAATGTGACGTTGTAACCTTTTGGTGATTCGGATGGGAATCTGGTCAGATTCGATATCAGCCTCGTCGTTCCCAACTCGCTTCCAACGTCTGGTTACCGAAGTAACTGCGTTGATCTCCAGTCCGCCTACCCACGTTGTGAATTGATCTTAGGCAGATGAAATCAATCAGTGGTTGGGGCCGTAATGCAAGTTGAGTTCAAATAAGGATGGTATCGCACAAATATGTGTAAAAGAAAATAAAATAATAACTCAAAAGTTCAAGGTATCTAAAAAAAGGATAACAATACTTTATATCTGGTTGCTGGATACATAGGACTGCGTCTATCTCCCGATCCGCTATATGGATTCGTGACACGTTGTTTTTGTTAGGTGAGTTTTAACATCTTAAGTTGTCTGTTCTTTAAGAAACTGGTTCTTGGTGTGTCTTCAGGCGATAGTCGTAAAACTTGTTTCGGTGGTATGAATCTAAGTCGCTCTTCAAAAATAAATTGTTCTTGGATTGAAGACGGAAGTTGCGCGAATCTTACAAGTCAGCTCTGCGAGGCCCACTTCAACTGCGCACTGGAGACTGTGGAAAACTGGAATTCCAACTCAACTGAGAAACTGATTTTCGCTTGCTGCAACTTTGCTTATATGGACGCCGACCAAAACCGGGGTGGGATTTGTTGGGGTTTGAGGTTCCTTGATAATTCCAATCCCCTTCTTTTGTTTTCGGTCAAGAAAAAATTATTATTTCCATTTTTGGAAGTCTTCTCTTACCCCTACTTTCAGAGGGCGTCAACGATTTTCCTACTTCTTTGCAGTAACATCTTATACCTATCCTCTTTAAGGAGTAGTAGCAGGCCTCCCACCCTGCATCACATGATCACCTCCGCCTGGCTCCCGTTAACATTCATCCAATGGCCGATCAACAGTGTGGGCGTGACCAGACTAGCCTTGTTTCTTAAAAAAATATATCTTGCTCAAAGAAAAAAGAATTATCTCCTCTTTTTTCTTTTTTTTTTCTATTTCCTTTCTTTCTTTTCTTTTCTTTTCTTTTCTTTTCTTTTCTATTCTCTCTTCTTCTCTGGCCGCCAACAGAACAATGCGACCCGTAGTGTGATAACCTCAATTCCTATCCTACGGTCACTTTCATCTGGACTTCGTCAATCATCAGGGTAGGTGGTCATCCAGCAAAACACCGCCAACTTTTCCGATAAAATCGTTTCGCTATTATCGCCAGATTCTAACACAACCCAGACCTTGTCTAACGATATCTTTCCCTCGACAAAGACTTAACCTATTTTCTTTGTTTTCTTTTTTTTTTTTTTCAGCTAGTGTGTGGTCAGGGCAGTCCCGTGACACAGTTAAATGTTTAACTATTCTGTCCCGGAGTTTAGCTAGCCGATCTGGAATTTGTCAATTAGATTTTCGCCAGCACCAAGTGGCTGTTATCTATTCCCGATAATATAAATCCGCCACCACAACACAGTTAATTTTTATCTATTTAGAATTTTCGACAATGGCAATGAAACCTTTCACCATTTGTCACTATCAAAATTTCATTTCTTTCCCTTCTTTTCTTCCTTTTCTTTGCTTCCCTAAATGCTGTCACAATTTTCGACAATAATGGTTTTGTGATACAAGTCTTAATAATTAACCCATCGCTGGGGAAAAAGAGGTGGATGCATATAATTCCCAGGTAAATATAACGTAAGTGAATATAACGAACCCAACTGGAATTAAAACTTGGCTCTCTGATTAAAAACTCCGAGCCATTATTCATTACACCACCCCCATATCGAAGCTTACAACATCCGGTATTCTTAAGCGGTCACCCATCCTGGTACTGACCAGGCACGCCGTAGCTTAACTACAGTGATTGTACAGGAACCGATGTTTCAACGTGATATAGTCTTAAGTATCTTGGTGACGTCCTCTAAATATACGCACCATCTTTTTTAAGTATCGTGTTCCTTGAGACGTCCACAATTTCCTATGATTTTTACACTATTTACATTGTTCGGACTCTTGTCTTCATTATTGCTATTGGCCGTTGTACTCTCCGTCCTTCTTCCGGTGATATTTGTTGGAATTTCAAATCGAACTTTCTATTTTAGTCCACAATAGATTGTTCTAATTCCACGTGCCATGCCTTTTCTTGATATCTCAGTTTCAGTTAATTCCCCTTGGTATTTCACCAGTTTTTGATCCCTCTGCTGTGGCCAGGTATTGAACTCTCAACTCTTTGGGTCACTTTTGATCACTCCACCAACGATTTCACCCACTGGGCTATCTTTATAGCTTTAAACAAATATTTGTCCCTTTACTACCCCTCCACAGTTCACGTTTTGTCATTGAGTTGCCCAAGTTCGGTTTAGTTTCGTTTGTTTTACGGTATATCAACCTCAATGTGTTATTTAATGCCGACAAGATATTTATTGCTGTTAATATTTTTTTTTTCAAAAGTTTATTGCTGGTAATAATTTTTTTCTTCAAATATGTATTGATGGCAATAATTTTTTTCTTAAAAAATCCATTGCTTTTAATTCTTTTCTTCAAAAATTCATTGCTGGTAATAAGCTTTTACAAAAAATATATTGCTGGTATTAAAACCTATTTTTGCACTTTCATAATGTTTTGATATCAGCTATTGGGTCTGTGTATAATTATCAAACCTTTTGTAGCCGAGTTATTTGTTAATAAAATTTTTTGTTTTGTTTACGTTTATGTTATTTTATTTTCAGGTCATAAAAATGAGTGTCGATAATCATACGCTCCGGAATAATCATTTAAAAACGTTATTGTTGAATTGTTATGGTTTAGTTTTTCATAATAAATATTGTTTAAAAACGCCTGATAATTATGCACCAACCCAATATATGTCCATAGCTGGGACGTTTACAGTTGCTACAACCCCGGGTCAAGGTGGACCTGGGAACACCAGCAATTAAGAGGACTGATCAGAAGTCTTGCTGTTGGATGTAGTTTATCGTCTTACCGAGTAAGTTCGTTAGGTACGTTAATCGACGTTTTCCTCATCATTTTTGTCTTCAATATGACCGTTGTGTGTCAAATTTTCCAAGCACTCTTTCCTTAATGTGTTGCAGAAAGTTCAATTGCCTCTTTCTCATTTTAAGTATAAAGTGTCCCTTTTTCATTCTATTTTCCTTTAAACTTTCTCTTTCCTCGCATGACCCTTCAATGTTATAAATGACCTTAGTTGAGAATGATGTTATAAATTAGTGAAGGTATAGTTTCTGTTCTTCAGTCAGCAGGTTGCCAATGCCGAGATAATTTGACCTACGATAAGAAACTCACAGTTAATACATGAGTTTTCCCTTGTTCCCCACTTCCCTGTGTGTTAGTTATTTGCATATGGGAAAAAAAAACGAAAACAACACCTGGTGGGCTTTTCAATTTTCTCACTTCATTAGACTGCAACGATGCTTGAACTTTATATTACATTATATTATAGTTTAACGACGAAATTTTTCAGTAACACTCGGCGGTCAAAAAATATATATATATGAGAGTTCAAAAGCAAACAGAAGAACTCCTTAGTAGAATGGAATATAATAATAAATTTAAAGATAAATAAAGAGAAATTTGTGCATGGAAGAAAAATTACAGATTATAGAATTTGGGAATGTGAAAATATTGAACAAAAGAAATTCAGTTACGTAAAATTTTATCACATTGAGGCATTTTTGTAATAAACAAGAAAAAAAGAATAACTATCAAGAGGTTAAAATGGGCACCCATTTTGAAAAGCAGGAAGCGTGAATCAGCGATGTAAATAACTTGTTTTTATGCGTATCACGAAGTTATTTTAAAAATATTTAAAATTGACCATATACATGTGTGTGTGGGGGGGTAAAGAATTAATGGAATTACTTTTAATCTGACATTTTTTATTGCTTCAAACGTTATTATAATAGATACTCGTGTTTGAAATAGTCGCTTCACTTTTATTTTCATTTTAAACAGTGTATTGCATTCATTGTTTCTCGAATGTGCAGGTCGATAGACGTAGTTAACACTGTTTAAAAATAACTATGGTTAGTCTAATTCAAATACGAGTACCGACTATGACAACATTTAAAATAACACACACACATACATATATATATATATATATATATATAAGGTTAATGGTCTGAGTTTTATCAAACCAGGAAACAGTGGTATTAAAAAGTGCTCAATACACGTGAGAAAAAATTTAAGTAAAAATAAAAATAACATCTAGAGCTTTTAACTTTAAAAATCAGCAGGTCAATTAAAATACGCGACCATGGTTTCGACCTGATGGTCTCTTCGGGCGATACTTTTAAAATGACCACTTTAACGTCTTATTAAAAAAAACCCCAAAAACAAAGAACGCTACATAATTATCTTTCAAAAAATATAACAAGCTAATGATGATTGAAAGGCAGCACATGGAATGTAATGAAAAAGAAAATGTCTAGAAGTTTTATTCAGAGCTTCGCATGTTCATTTCAGTGGGATACTTGGAACAAATTCTTCTATGGCAGCTACCCGACCCCCAAATATCGACTCTTCATCCATCTTTTTATCCCGACATGGTGGCTGGTAATACGAAATGAAGTTGCCGAAACCACTCGACTTTCACGTCCCTCTTCCGCCAAGCACGGACCAGAAATGCCCCTAATCCCAAGACCAGCTGACGGATAAAACCTATTCCCGGTTTAACTGTTACTTGATCCCTGAAAATCATACACACCTTTATTTCGACGTTATCCTTTGGTCAAATCTGATGTCGCTTAGGAGGCCGAACTTCAAAAGTACCCATTCACAGCTCTAACAGAAACACTTTAGATAAGGATAAAACCACTGCTTCCCTCTCTACGTGGACATCCATAGTATCACAAATATAACTTCAAGGTTAAAGACTACCGAAAGACGCACATTTATCGAATCGTTACGATAAAAAGGCAATCACCAAAGTATAAAATATCCACCCAATACAAGTCGGGGTAGGGGATGACTGAGTAAGAGTCTTGGATGGACGTAAAAAGTGGAAGTAGGCGCATAATATGAGGATATGAAGAGACTTGAAGAGGTTAAGATTGTAGTGATCGGGGAAACATGCTCTTGAGGGTCAGTTCTACAAAGTAAGACGTAAGAAGCACACTTTATGTGGATATGTGGAGAAGCTAACAGTTGAACCTAGACTTAAAGAGGTTAAGATTGTAGTGTTGGAAATTTCATACTCTCGGAAATTTCTTGGGACGAAACTCTCAGGGTGGATGGAACCTTCTGAGCAAAAGAATTCGAAAGAAATAAGAATGATTCGACGCTGTATACGTGGAATGAGATGTATTACCTATAAAGGACTGAACTAGTTGAACCACGGAATGTATCTCCTTGTGCAAATTAATTGAAACAAAACGAATAATTCCGTTATTTACTTTCCTTTTCGTATTTTCCCAATGAAACCTGACCCAGTCAACATGTTAGTACTTCGTATGTCCATTCAACGAAGGCTATCCTTACAGACTGACCACAGATTCTGGATTGGATTTAAATCAGGAGAGTTTCCGGGACAATCTTTTGTACTTTGATTTGCTCACTGGTAAGGTTTGCCATTGTGTTCGTGCAGCGTTACAATTTTCGTACGCTTTCTTGGAGTAATGTAGAAACAATGGCCATAGGACAACTAATCGACAGTCAAGACAATAGTGTCTGGGCGTGATAAAATCTAAGTTAATCACAGATGAAGCAATATATGTCATGGCCAAAAAATTTCATCATACACCCCGAAAATAAATTCATATTACTGCACACCAATTCAAATGACCTAATCTGAGGAAAAATAGAAATCGATTACACTCTGTCAATTCAGTGGATCAAAAAGTGACCCTATGGTGAAAGAAAGTAAACTAAAGTGGTTGTTTTAACTAATTTGCACACGGGTGTAGTTCGCTAGATCATTTCCTAGATTGATTAGCGATAGGCTTGTGTCGTTTTCTTTTGTGGGAAATCACTAGTAGAGTGAAAAATAGCTGATCAAGGACGGTTGAATCCTTTTTTCAGCTCTGTCAGGGCTGTAAATTGAGGATTGAACAGCTCCAGCCTAGATATGGAAGCAATTCTCCATTTTTTGGTCTCATTTGATTCTTGCAAAGATAGAAAATGGCATAAGGCATCAGGTAATATCTGGAACTTTTGCCTACCCATCATTTCTAAAAATGGATTGAGCCAATGATCAAAATGCTATCATAATGCCCACCCTCTTTTGGTCAACATAATGTTTTCTAGAGTAAGTTTATTTTCCATGTTTTTATCATGGATGTCACACCTCTAGAAAACTGAAGAAAAAAATCAACAAGGATCTGTTAACATCAAATACAAGAAGAAAAAAATAGAGAGACGAGGATGTAGTTTGAAAAAATCGTGTATGATATTTAGTTTTATATGTAAGTCCAAATATATTCTTTTAGTCGTTTACTTTTTAAAAACTTTCCATCAACTTGAATGCATCTGACATTTCATTTAAACACCTGTCCGTTTTGTTGTCATCGTCATTCATTCTAATGCTTATCAACGCACTTCGACATGGTGCAATGGTTAGCAATATTGTCTCGCTAGAACTGTTCCAAATGAGTAGTGTGTTCGATCCTCACTGTGTGCCCCATACATTCGGCCTTATACCATATCTAAGCTACGCTTAGAAAATCACCTGGGCGCTTCGAAGTGATGTAATGATTAGCATGCTTGGCTCGCTAGAACTATTACAACTGAATAGTGAGCACCATTCTCACGGCCTTGTGCCACATCTAAGCTATGCGTAGAACATCACCATTTTAGTTCTTGTAAAACATTTTGAAATGATTTCCCAGGAATTATGGATCGAAAATGCTATAATACAAAGACACTACCCTCTTAAAAGAATT